CTGGCAATGTCAGAAATTGTTGACCTGAGTCCCCTACAGCTCAGCATAACACCATGGCTTTACTTCTTATATTTCGTTTTTATACTTTTCTGCTGAATGGTTAAGACCAAGGTAAAGCAGGACCTGTGCAACAAGAACATTGTTCCTCTTGTGTGAGAAACCCAAGAGGTATGTCTTAATTATTTTTCTCTCATTGCTAAGACAAAATGCCTGGTGCCCAAAATTAAGGAAGGAAAGGTTTATTTAGCTCACAGTTTGTGGAGGGTTCCGCACACTGGGCTCCAAGGCAGAGCAGCACATGGCAGAGGGCAGCACCTCCTGGTGGTGGAAAACAGGCAAAGCAACAAGATCAAAGAGGGAGGAATGAGCGAACAAGCTTCTTTCCCTCTCTAGTACTGAGTTCAGGCCACTAAGGTGAACACCAGGCACGAAGTGTAACGCGGTAAATAAGGACCAAAATGGAGATGCCAGGGAGTAGAAGAACGTGTTCAAACAGGATGGAGATGAGGGGGGTGGGAGGCAGAGGGAAGGAAGAGAAAAAGGATTTAAAACGGAGAATGGAAGGCAAAACAATGGAAACAAAGCTTATGCAAATAGAGAGAGGAGGAAGGGCTGAAGGGAAGGAAGGGGAGTAGAAAAAAGAACTAAGAGATATTATGTACAGGTACAAATTCCCTAGGATGAGTGTGATCGTTAAGTATGGCAAATATGTATTAATAAAAATAAGTAAAGAAAATAAATAGGCGGACTCCTCTCCATTTCTAATGGGAGGGCTGAAGCACCGTGCAGGACTGAGCTGGGAGCAGCACACCAGAGGCTTCCTGGGGTTGAGTAGGGGAGAGATGCTTTAATGAAGAGGAATGAGTTTCCAAAGTATGGACTCAGAAATGGATTTTTTTTCAAACTGCTGAAATGAAACTAAGTTGTAATTGCAGGTGACCGGAGCCATTTGTCGGTCAGCAAAAGCCCAAGGTGCACAGGGCCTGTCTCCCATCCCTCACATCCCGCTGAGATTTCTCCAGGGACCAGGTAGAAGCAGCCTTGTAGGAGGCTTTGAATGGGCAGAAGAAGAAAATTAAGTGTTTTAAAATTGCACCCTGTGACTGCCGCTTTCTCGTTAACTGAAAATGCTACGTATATTTTCAGTTGGTGCCACTGTAAAACCATCCCGCGTGGGTTTGGTTACGGGTTTGGGCCCAGCTGGATCAAGGCCAGGTGGGTTCTCCAGCGGTCTTCTCAGCTCTGCCCTCCCCCCTCCTCCTTTCTTCCTCAGACCCACAGTGTTCTTGGCAACAAGATCCCACCAGGAGATGTGAACTGTACTCCCTGCTCACTCTTTTTTTTTTTTTTGTTCTATAATTTTATTGAGAAACAAATAGCAATGAGACAATTTCAAATCAAATTGGTAGGACAGTTTCAATAATTAACACACTGCATCCTGCTCACTCTTGAAGAGGATGTTTCAGTCCCCACGGCCACTGAACAAAAGTACTCAGCTGCCCACCGGTAGAACAGGAGCAAAGACGTCCCTCTGCGCAGGGAAATGTGTGTGGGTTGGCTTAGGCCTGTACTAATAAACCCAGTCAGTGGAACATAATGCAAGTACTCAAGGGCCAGGGAGATAGCTCAGCGGCATAAGCGCCTGTCTAGCAAGCACGAGGTCCTGAGATCGATCCCCAGTACCCCTCCCCTAGTACTCAAGATGGTCCACAGACACTACACGAAAGGTGAAACTCACCCCCACACATAGCTGCTGCTTAATAGGACAGAGCTAGGAGAGAAAACCTGGAAACAAAACTTTTGTAAATAAGGGGAAAGAAGAGTTGGGAGGGAGGGGAACGGTGGGAAAGAAGTAGCAAGGTATATCATGCCCAGGTACAAGGTCCTGCAATGAGTGTCATTACTATGTACATCCAAAATGTCTCAATAAAAAAGACTTAAAAAGAAAAACATTGCGTAGGTGTCAGTGAGGAGGAAAAGTTTGTACCAGGGCTCAAGAAGGACACGGGCTTGGGGCTGGCAGGGACTAGGGCTGAGAGAGACTGACTAGTCGGACACAGAGTGCATACGAGCCCTGCTCCTGGAAGTATAACCGGGAGAATCCTGCGATCGAAGCAGCTTGGAAAGGGCCAAGAGTTGGTCTGCTAACAGATAGGGTGCAAGGGAAGTGGAGGAGACAGAAGACGGTGGAGTGAAGACGTTCAGAGAAGGTATCAGAAGAATCTGGCGGGAGCCAGATGATGCAGCACGCTCAGGCAGCGTGATTAAGGAAAGGCTACCCAGGCAGGCAGAGCCCAGGCCAGGAGGAAGGAGAGCTCAACCGGGACTGCACCGCGCCACCGCGCTAGCTGCATTCCTGTCCTTAGGTGCAGAGGACCGCATGGGACACCACACCGAGGTGCCCGGGATCCTCTCCCAGGGGCCAGTGCGATAGGAGCCCGGCCTCTGGGGCGGAGAAGTCGCCTGCCCTGGCCGCCCGGCTGGGAGGGGTCGGGGGAGTGAGGTCCGGACTTGCCTGCCCTCCGTCCACACTGGTGACTCTCAGTTGCTAAACTAAAATAGGGAAAGGGAGCACTGGCCACAGATCAGTAGCGTGGAGCTGAGAACAGAGGAAGAAAGCAGTGGAAATTAGATTCCGAGGAACCATCAGAAAAATACTCACAGGGAAGGAGGAGAAACACTGACAACTGTCAGGAAACTATCAGGGTGGAAGGCGAGGAGCTCTTCTGTCCTCTAGAGGGCGCGCGAGGACTGCTCGCCTTGCACGGGATTCCCAAGCAGGAGAAAAGGGAAGCTGATCAAGGCCGACTGGAGAGCCCTTGGCGAGAGGACAGGGCCAGGCCGAAAGGGGTGGCCCCTGGAGTGGGGGCTCTACCCTCGGAACTCAGATTCATGACACTTGGATGGATTTCGAACTGTAGAATAAGCAAAGTTAATACTCAGTGTTTACCATTGCTAAGTTCTTGGCACAGAGCTGCTCTTCGAGCTAAGTACCATCATAATTAGGTTTTAAAGAGACTGACAGAGCCTGGACTGAAACCCAGCTGCACAGAGCTACTCTCTGCCGCATTTTGCTCCCACGCTGCTGGTGTAGTCAGCAGGGTCAAAGGAGCCTAAGAAAACGAGGGCTGGTTTTCATTTAACAATCTCCAGCACGTATGCAATGCCTGGGCGCTCCCGACAGGCCAAAGCTCTGATCCGGGACCAAAGACACACAGTGGAGCAAAGCGCGGGGCACCACGTGCAGGAAGAACCTGGTGGAGCCGATCTGAGTCCCGGGGTCCACTGTGAACGATCTGTGGGGCCCAGGAGATGTCACATCATCTAACTCCCCATTTCCTAGGCCCTAGGTGTACTAGACACAGATAATAAGAAACACAGATAATAAGAAAGTGCAAGGCACTTCTAACTATGCGTGGAAGATCGTTCATGTCACAGAGCTGTGCGCTTACCACGCACCATCAACCTCTGGAGCTGCTTCGGGGGCGACAGAGACCCCCAGGACCAAGATCAGTTCTTGGCTGAGTGCTGAGTGCGGGGGGGAGACCAACAGGTCACACCCCCCACCCCTGCCCCTTTCGACTTCAGCACGGCCCAAAGCTGTAAGAGCTAAAAGACTTCGGGAGGTTCTACTTGGTGCAGCCCGGCTTTGGAGTTTAGGCTCAAAGCTTTAATCTACAGGTGACAGTTTTTTGTCTGGTGTTCCAAAGCTGAGCACTTGATGCTGGCTGCCTCAACCATCGCGTTAAGAGATTCTCCGACTGTGATCAGCGTGAGCGGGAGAGAACTCGGCAGAGGTAGGCAGTGCCTGCCGGACTGAGGAGGGAACACGGCAGGCACATGCTTCGAGAGCAGGGTTCTTTTACCTGGGTGTCCCTTCTGCAGCTTTAGCTGAGTGGGACCCGAGTACACCTAGGGGTTCAGGTGAGCACCTCTCCCAGTTTTCCCGGGACTGTCCTATTGCAGCACTGCA